TATTCTGCTTTTTAGGGAATTTTTTTTCCTCATTGGCATTTTTATCTCTCACCATTTGGCCTCGTCTGCTTCTTAAGATGTTATTTTCTTCAGTATTTTCTTGTGTCTCCTTTACCAAGGTGTTGACTCTTTTTTCATGATTTTCTTGCATTACTCTCATTTCTTTTCCCAACTTTTCTTCTACCTCTTTTATTTCATTTTTGAAATCCTTTTTCAGCCCTTTCATGGCCTGAGACCAATTCATATTTTTCTTGGAGGCTTTGACTTAGTTATCTTCTTCTGAGTGTGTCTTTTGATCCTCCTCATCACCATAGTAACTTTCTAGGTCAAAATTTCTTTCTGTTGTTTGCTCTCTTCTCCAGCCTATTACTTGATTTTTAACCCTTTGTTGAAATATGGCTCTGCCTCCAGGGTGGAGGGTGCACCATCATCCCAAGCTTCAGGGTTTGGTTTTTATGGGTTTTTTTGACAGCTGTTTTCAAAGATACTTCTAGGCACCTGTAAATTTCTGGTTCTTCCAAGGTGGTATGATCTAAGGAGAGATGTATGCTACTCTCCTGGCCTATGCTCTGGTCTGTGAGTGACCACAAGCACTTATTATTTCCCTGGAACTTCACTGTGACTATAAGGTCTGGTGTGCTAGTGCTCCTCTTTGCCCCAGCACTGCCACCCATGACTGTGACCCTGATCCTAGTATGGACAAAGCAACAGAGTCCTTCCTCAGGGCTTGACCAGTTGTTAGACCCCCTTACTGTCTTTGGGTTGAGAACTCTGGGAGCAGCTACTGCTGTTGCTGATTCAGTGGCTCCCAAGGTGTTCTCTGGCTTTGCTGTGGCTGGGGGTGTGCTGGCATAGCCTGCATTAGACTATGCTCCACTTTCATGTGGGTGCTGCAGACTTTCCTGCTGAAGTCTAAATTATCCAGCATCGGACAGTGGAATTGCCTAAACACCAACATTGGTATCTGTGGGCTGAGAAGTCTAGAAACCGCCACTGATTCAGTTGCTGTGAGGCCTGCTTGTGAGGTTGCTGAGGCCTGGTGTGCACTGGGGTGGCCTGCATTGAACTGTGCTCCTCTCAGACCCTGGTGCCCAGACTTCTCTTGCTGGCCATCTAAGTTTTCTTGGGCTGTGAAATTGTTTCACTCTGCCTTTTGGTGGATTCTGCTCCTCTAGAACTTGGTTAGAATCATTATTTAAAGGTTTCTGGAGGGGTTTGGGGGAAAGTTCAGGTGAGTTCCTGCCTTTACTCTGCCATCTTGACTCCATCTCTCAATGGTCAAGCTTTTGGACTTTTCATGTTTTCCAGGTGACCTGTAATCCTTAAGTTGACTTTTTTGTATCCTTAGAGAGCAATATATTTTACTCACACAGATGTTGTTTTGAGTTTTACTCCTCTCCTTCCAGACTGTTCTTCTCTTTTGTATACTTATATTCCCAATCACTTATTCTTTCCTTTTATCTTTGGTGAGATTTTCCAATTGGATTTAAGCTTTATATGCTGCCAATTATGTCTTTTATGCAGGAGATAAATTCAACGTTTATAACTCTCTCTCTTTTTGGTTAGGCAATGGAGTTAAGTGACTTGCCCAGGGTCACATAGCTAGTAAGGGTCAAGTGTCTGATGCTGGATTTGAATTCAGGTCCTTCCGACTCCAGGGCCAGTGCTCTATCCACTGTGTCACCTAGCTGCCCCCAACTTCACAACTCTTATTTCTTTCTTGCACTATTAGGAAACATTCTACTGTGGCTCCATGCTGTCACTTCCCAAGAGACCTTGGGAATCCATACAGCCTTCTATTGGTTCAAGTATTGATTAATTTTTCTTTGTATGGCAATATTTATTCGTTGTTTGGAATTGTTTAGGTGTTCAAGGGGCTCTTTTCTTATGTTATTAATATCTTCCTTATTGCTTTATTTGATTGTCCTCAAGGTCTTTAACTGGATTTTCTTCTTATTGAGATCTTTGGTAATTTCAATATTTTTTCAATATATTCACCTGTGCTATACCTTCTAACTCCTTCCACTTTGATGGTAGATTCCCTAATGTCTGGACCTCAAATCTATCTCAGCCTCTTTCTGTGGTAGGTAGATTCACATTTCAGTTGCCTCAGTTTCTGCCCCTGGATGCCATGGCCTTTTTCTTCAGACATAGCAGAGTCATATACATTCTGGCTCCCTATTCCAGTTACCTCTGTTTTTTAGTTTTTCTAGCTAAGAACTGCTCTAGCACAGCATGAAGCCACATTGCCACACCAAAGAGGGCAAAAATCTGATTTTCTATACCTCCACCTCTGCTGCACAATATGGATTGGGAAGAATTTAGTTCTCTTGTAAGCCATGGGTCAGGTTGTGTCACCCCTCCAAGAGTTTAGGAGCTGGTATGAGAGGGAATTCTGAGTGAACATGTTGGAGATTAGGGATAATAAGCTTTCTCCACTGTTAATTCATCAGTGTGCTGCCTTGTTAGAATTCTTAGTGCTTAGATGGTGTTGATAGATGAAATTGCTTTTTCTTCTCCTATAATATTATTTTGGAAACATTTGGAAGGTTGTGAGGATTGGAGAGGAAAGAGATTTTGCCATCTTTTGGTCACATGACTAAGAATATCTGATCAGATTTTGATACAAATTTCTTTTTATTCCTGTTGAAGGAAATCTAAAAAAAATTTTTCCTTGGGTATGTCACTTCCAATGTAGTATTCCCTTCTTGGCCTTTTCCTCCAGATCATGTTTACAGGTTGGATGATCATGGGGTCAACAACTCCAAGTACTTGTGAGTCCACACTCAAGGACTCAAACCATTTGACACAACTAGTTCAAAGAAAAGATGACAATTAGAGCATGAGCCTTTCAGCTATAAATATGAAGCACACTTTCCCACAAATATACTAAGAGTCAATGGGAAGAGTGAGCCCTTGTATAGTATGGTAGTTGAAAGACATATAGAAGGCACACACATGGCTCAAGTCTCTGCCACTTCAAAACCCTGACTTCCTTTCTCTTATTGTGAAATTTCCACATTGCTCTTTAAAAATGTTTTAAAATTGATTTCACTTTTAATTTATGGAATAAAACAACCATTTCCATAACATAGTATAATAAAAAATGATTGCACATGAACCTGAAAATCTATTATGTTCAGCTTGTTATTCCTTTTAAAAAAGTTTGAATAAACTTTTAAAAAATTATCCTGTAAATATCTTCTTTTATCCTCTCTACCCTAGAGATGGCTATTAGACAATATATATATATATCTGTAAAATCATTCTGTGCATCTATTTATCAGTTCTTTCTCTTTATGCAGGTAATGTCTTCCTTCACATGCCTTTTATAGTGAATCTGGGTCTTTATAACAGTGAAAATGTAACTTTTTATGGGAGCAATGTCTTTGCTGACGTATTCTTACAGTTGTATTCCTTGGGGCTACTTTTCTTCTTAGTTCAACTTCTGACAGCAGTGATTACTCTCCCTCTATTTAGAATATAACTGGCTAGATTGCTTTTTTTATATCAACTCAAGGGACATGGCTAATCTAGACCTTGCCCACATGGCATCAGTTGTCTTCATCATATGAACAAGGACCCCAAATACTCAAAAGTTGATTAAGATTTTTAATGTTAATGAAGGGAGATAAAAATGTAAAGATTTATTTAAATTTGCTTTACAAACAATGAATGAGACACTCCCAAGTTTTGCAACCTTTACCACCTGTGAATAGGACACATAGGATGATCATTGTTTGTCTGAAATGGGAAAATTCCAAGTCTAGGACTCTTATACTAGTAAATCTGAAACAATGATTTATGGACTCAGCACCTGAGGAGTGCCAATGCAAGTTTTTCTCTTTTATAGTTATTGAACTCTGTTCACAACTCTATTGTCTTATAAAATATCCTTAATTTAGTAAATAATAGAATAAGAAGAGCCATCCAAAATGTAAGAACAATAAGAGGGGAAAGAAAACAAATAGATGTAGCTCAGACTTCTGGCTTTGTGATGAAGACTCCATAGCTATAATGATGGTTAAGAAAGGGATTGTTGGCTTTTTCTTTTTCTTTTTTCCCCACTGAGTTGAGTCCTTGAAAAAAAAAGAAAGATGGTCTTGGAAAGAATTCTAGATGTAGATCTCTAAAAGGATAAGGGCCCTGAAATTATAAATCTCCCTTCTTACAAAAATGTGCAAGTGAGAATGGAAACATGTTTCTGAGTATACAATCAAATATCCAGCAGGTGGTGGCAAAGTTAGATATTCTGGGTGATGAGAATGGTACTTGAACTTTGAGGATCATCTCATACAAATCTGAGCCATACTTGCTCTGTAAATCAGATTATCCGGTCAGTGTCACAGAGGATAACAATTTCCCTGTCACATCAAATAGGCTATGTCTCCCTGAGAAACAAGGTATTTGTTGGAGGAGACTTGAAATTTTCTTATTGTGAACTATGACTTTCATAACTCAGTTTCTCCATGTAGAAGAGTTAAAAAAGGAAGATGAGCTATCCCTAGAAAGGCAATGGGTAAACAATTTAGGTAAAATGTAATCCTAGGTAAAAGGTGGCAAAAAGGTGACTGAAGAAGCAATAGAGTGCCAAGGACCATTAAAAGAGATTCTGAGAAGAAAATGATTCATAGAATAGATTCAGTCTGTTAATCTTTGGAAATGTAAGAAGGTTAAGGAGCTTTGACAATCAGAAATGAGATTAAGATGAATAAGAAGTTTATTAGGAGCACAGAAAGGCCTACTACATGAGATAAAGCTGTTTAGAGTTACTGAAGTGATGTGGTATGATTGATACTGAGTCAAAACCATCAGCTCTGGCAGCCTCAGTGTCTCCAATATTCCCCACCACTTTGGAACCAGCTCTAGGAGAACATTCTCTGTGAAGTTCAGAAAAGAGACTTCTCCTTTGGAGGAAGAAGGTGTTCTTCCTCTTTTTGAATAGAGCAAAACATGCAAATTGGGTCCCTCCCCACTGGGGTGAAAAGCAGCCCCAACCTGTACCTGTATGTGCAGGAGACAAGCTCAAGCTCTTTGTGTCATTAGACGCAGAGGACTAACCTAGGAACTCAGCATGAAATTTAAGCTGAATTGGATTTTCCTTCTGACTATTTTCCAAGGTAATTTTATGGAGAGAGAGGGACAATGTGAAATGGTGACTTAATGTGACTGTTGCCTTTAATGCAATGTCTCTGTGTTGCAGGTGTCCAGTGTGATGTGCAGTTGGTGGAATCTGGGGGAGATGTGAGACAGCCTGGAGGATCTCTGCAACTCTCCTGTAAAGTTTCTGGATTTACTTTCAGTGACTACTACATGGATTGGGTCCGCCAGGCTCCAGGGAAGGGACTGGAATGGGTTGCTGGAATTAGTGATAGTGGTGATACATACTATGCAGACTCTGTGAAAGGTCGATTCACCATCTCCAGAGATGATGGCAACAGCATGTTATATCTACAGATAACTTCCCTTAAGACTGAGGATACAGCTGTTTATTACTGTACGAGAGACACAGTGAGGAAAAGGAATGTGAGACCAGACAGAAACTGCCCCTGCCAGGTGGTGAGATATCAGTGAGGCCAGAAGGGTATTGAGCTCATGATGCAGAGAGTACAAGATGTCTAGACCCACTAACAGGTGTAGAGTGAATCTGAACCATTTCTATTTATGGCTTTTGTTGTTTTTTCTTCTATCCCAGGAGAAAGCAACTTTTCCAGTAGCTAGCTATCATTCTTAATGCTTCACTCTCACTCCCACCCCTACTATATATTTAATCAGTAGCTATTTCCTACCTATTCTATTTTTATCACATATCTAGTATACCCTCCCTTCTCTGCTCAGGTACTGTGAACACTCTGAGGTCAGCCTTTACCAACTCACACCTGGATCATTATGCTAGCCTGTTTGTTGCTTTCTCAGCCTTACTTTCTTCACTTCAGTCCACACTAAACTCAGCTATCAAAATTATCTTCCTAAAACATAGGTCTGACCACTTCCCCCAAATTCTGGTGATTCCAGGATAAAATATAAAATCGTATTTGGTTTTTAAATCCTTTCATAGCATGGCTCATTCTTGTTTTATTGTACTTTACTCCCTTCTACACACTCATCAGTCTGATGGCATTGACCTCCTTGCCCTTCCTTTCACAAGACATTCCATCTCTCTACTACATGTGTTTTCTTTGGCTGGAATTCTTTTCCTCCTCATCCCTGCCTCCTGGCCCTCTTGACCTCCTTCAAATCTCACCTGAAATCCAAGTACATGTAAAAATAGTTTTCAACATTCATTTTTATGAGATTTTGAGCTCCAATTTTTTCTTCTCTCTCTCCCTTCCTTCAGATTCCAGTAAGGAATCTGATATAGGCTATGCAAGTACAATTATGTTAGACATATTTTCACATTAGTCATATTATGAAAGAAGAATCTGAACAAAAGAAAAAAACAGGAGAAAGGAAAAAAATTAAAAAAGCAAAAATGGTATTCTTTGATCTGTATTCAGACTCCCTAGTTCTTTCTGTGAAGGTGGATACTGTGACTATTGATCATGATTCCTCTGGGAATGTGTTGAATCATTGTATTGCTCAGAGCTAAGTCTATCATACTTAGCTGATTGCACAATATTGCTGTTACTGTGTACAACTTTCTTCTGGTTCTGCTCACTTCACTTTGCATCAGTTCAAGTAACTCAGATTTTCCTGAAATCATCTTGCTTGTCATTTCTTATACCACAATAATTTTCCATCACAATTGTATATCATAGCTTGTTTTGCCATTCCCCAATTGATGGGCATCCCCTCAATTTCCATTTTTTGGCCACCACAGTAGGTACCCTTTGATCCAGCAATACCACTGCTAGGTCAATATCCCAAATAAAAAGGAGAATAGGGAATAAAATAGGAGAAAGGTCCTATTTGTAAAATTTAACTACATAATATATGGAGTTCTTTTCTAAAGATTATGAAGAAGCAGCAGAAAAATAAAAAAAAAAGTTCTGTGCCAAGAAAGGAAAAAAACGAACACACAGAATTGACATAATTCAGATTCTATGCATTACAAAAAATTTCACAATTCCAATGACTGATAAGAAAATAAGTTGTTTTTTGAAAGGTCCTAATGGACCTCATAAAACCCCACCTTTACTTTCCTATCTTCACTTCCTTATCCCCCATGAAATAAGAGCATTGAAGTACCTCATTTCTTGCTCAGTAGAAAATAAAGAGAAAGTAGATAAGAGCAGGGAAAAGATACTCTATTTCCTGAGGACATAGTGACAGCAGACATGGGATCTGTGAATAAAGAGAATGGTGCACCCATTTGGAAGCTCAGTCCAAAATGCTTTGACAGTGTAGAAGACAAACTGCCCATGAGGGCAGAATTTGCTCAAAGTAAGTTAAGAGGGAGGTTATAATAAGTGAGAAAAAGAGTATAATAGAAGCTGTCTTTCTAAATGCTGTGGAAGAAAAGGGAGTGTTAGTTTATTGAGAGGGCCTGGTTTGAATGAAGTAGAATTGTTTTACTGATAAATAGTACAATAATTCCCTCAAATTATAGGAAAAAAAATTAAACCACAGAAATTCAGATCATCATGAATTCACTGGGCTTAAAATGAATAATTAAAGGTGTTGGGGGGTTGGAGTTAGGGTAAAGAGAGATCTGAGATATCTTTCCTCAATGGGGAATCTACTTCCTATTATTTCATTTTCCAATGCATATACCAGGAGGGCATCCAAGCCAGAGGGAAGCTTTGGAAAGTCAGAACCACTGGGCTACCTGAGGGCAGGAAATGGAAGAAAACTTAGTGGGGATCATCTAAGACTGAGTACTCAGCTTTTCTGCGAGAGTTAAACTAAACTACTGCTGACCAGTATAACATGCACCACTAGTTGCTACCTTTCTTGTCAAAGAAAGAACAAAATAGAACAGCTAAGAATTTGTTATCTTTTCTTAATTATATGGAGTAAAGATCATTACTGTATAGCTGTGCCTTTAGAAATTTAGTGTTACTGTAATAGGGTATAGATAGGCTTCAGATTTTTATCAGGTCAATGTAAGATTTTCTTTCCCTAGAGAAATTCTACTTTTGCTCAACGTCATACAACCATATATTTTAAAAATGCTCCTAGAGTGTTCCAACTGTCCCTAAATCAACGTTTAATTTCTTCTGTCTTCTTACTCTGTACTACTCCAAAGAAGTATGCTCTAACATTACTGCTTCTCTGTCTTCTCACTATTAAGGAGAACACTATTATTCTAATTTTTATTTATTCACATTTGTCCCTCCCTCTTGAATGATATAGTTTGGGAAAAATTCCTACTCTGCTTCCTCCTGAAATGAGTTGTTCCATACCAGGACATTATTATAAGCTTCACTTTCATGATATCACTCACTCCTCTGGTGATAACACTTCTCAACAGTTTCTTTTAGCATCTCATTTATGGTATTATGTAAGAATTTTCCTCCTTCTCTCCCAGCTCATGATACCATGAGAACACCGAGTACTTTGCTTTAAAGGGCTTATGAAGGTATTTCAGGGGGAAAAAAATTCTCCCCTACACCTTGTCAAAAAAGTAATGCGTATCCTTTCTCTTTATTTGAAGTTTATCACATCCCTGCCTGAGATGAAAGGTATATTTCATCTTCAGGTTTCTGGATTCATATTGTATTGTAGCTGAATTCTAGAGTCTTTCAAAATTTAAACTGTTCTCCTTGTGCTACTCCTCTCTGCAGCAGTTCATTGATGTCTTCCCAGTTTTCTTTGAACCTGTCCATTTCATCAATTCTTCTGCAACAATAATATTCCAATATATTAATATACCATGCTTGATATGCATTGCATGGGAGTTCAATTCCTAAGGGGACCAATCCAGAACTTGTTTGAATTGGATTTTTTTAGGTTACAGGCTTATTTTCACTTTGAAGAATAGGTGTTCCTTAGGATGCCTATCAACTTTGGGAGCTGAGCCATATTAATACGAGCTTCTTTGGGTATGTGGCAAAGATCACTTAATCCTGGTGAAAGAGACATCAATTTCCATATCACCTGTCCTGACAATGGGGGGGAACCAACATTCTCCCAGACCTGTCTAGGCAACATCATGAACAGGAATAGGTCTATTTAGATTACATCTTAATGTCCTTCTGAACTTTGAAAGAAAGAAGAATAGGAAAGCTCTGAATTTCCAAGATGATGATTACTACGAAAAACAATTTTTCACATTCCCCCATCTGATTCTAGTGGGAGGTGTAGCATTCTCAATGAATCACTAACTAATATGGTCAACACTTCATCAAGGGGTTTTGGGGGCTTTCAAAAATAAGGGAGAGGGGAGCAAGAAAAGTATTGGCAGTTGAAAAGGGTAAGTAACTACCCCCTACTAGGTACACATATAGAGACACAAAGGGAAAAAAGCAACAATAAATTGTCCATTTAAGTCTTCAGAAGTCTCCTTTCATACAGCTGTCTGGTGTTCAGTACTTTGTCTTATGAAGTTTCCTGGTTGGAGTGTTGCCAAGCAATCTCCAGCAGATTGAGTTCTTAAAATTTCTTGTAGGGAGAGATCCTCTTTCTTTGTTAAAAATCTCCTGCAAAATTGATCTTAACACAATTTTAAATTGCCTTGCCAATTACCAGGTCAAATAATGCAAATTAACTCAACCCTTATTTGTCTAATATTATAAAATCAAAATTGGAATCTTCACCATTTGTCATGTTGAAAAAACTTAAATAAAACACAGGAAAATTTGAACCCAGTTCTTATACTTCACAACTTCACATTCATTCCCACATCAAGAACATAAAATTCCACTAAGGAATTAATAACAGAACACTGTTTATAAAATGATAGACTCTGATACATACATCATACATCTAGTGATCAGTTTTAAAACAGTACATATCAATAAGATAATTCTAACTTCTGGTCAGTTTCAAATAAATAACCCGCAATTAAAGTGGGTGCTTCCTTTAAGGCATTTGTAAGAATACCTGATTTAACCAAATAATTTTAACTGAAACTTTTCTTCAAATATAGCCAAAACTTGGAAGTTTATGATTTCTTAAATTACATTATTTCACATATATCACAATACATGGTCAGATAGAATGACCTAACAGCTTCCTAACCCATTCATTTCTTTTTTCTCTTTCAGAGTTAAGGAAGAAATTCTTTTATTCAATTCTCCCAAGAATCAGGTGTACTCCCTCCTAAGGAGGAATCGCACTTAGCACAGAAGGGACAATGAGCTTTATACTATTAGTCTGGTCCCCTTATTCCTCCCTCCAAGACTGGGATTGATCTGAGTTACAAAAAGTTTCACAACTGGTTAGGTCCACAATTCCATATTCTAATTAGAGAAACCACAATCTGAGTTACAATTGGTGGAAATACAATCCTGAATCTTTAATTAACATGCTTGTGGTTCACTAAGCCTGTGTTGTAGCAGATCCTTTTCCCTGGACATTGAGCCCAACAGCTTGGGCTGGTTCTGGCCTTGGGCTGCAAAAACAGGAACCCTGCTGTCAAGTTAACCTAGCTTAACTTGCCTGAGGAATGTCACTCCCCTCTCATTCTGTCA